AGGCAGTCAGACAGACAGACAGTCAATACAGACAGTCAGACAGACAGACAGACAGACAGACAGACAGACAGACAGACAGACAGTCAGTCAGACAGACAGACAGTCAGACAGACAGTCAGACAGACAGTCAGACAGACAGACAGTCAGACAGACAGATAGAGAGACAGACAGACTTTCAGATATCTGCTTTAGTTCATTTCCTGGTTTTTCTGCTTCATCATTAATGAATGAATGCTCATCACAAATGTTGGATTCTGATTTAATGTATCGCACCAACAACCCTCCAGATATCAGTGCTGGTAACTGATAACTGTGATCAATACAGAGTTCACTGGTCTGGTTGCATTTAAAAGTTTATTAAAGTTAGTTTTGAATTAACTAATAACATGGGTCGTAATATCTGTAGCTAATTATATTATCAGATATCAGATTGTTGGGTGAAGATGGATTTGTTCTATTTTGATGAAGCTAGGCTAGCAGTTTCCCCCTGCTTCCAGTCTTTGTGCTAAGCTAGGCTAAGCAGCTGGTCTATTTGTGACGTAAGCTGAGACCCTCTCGCGTCAGTCTGTTTCGTGTCGTTGGAAGACGCTCTCGGTGGGATCTGAAGACGTGCTGATCACACAGCCAAACACAAAGCCATGTGCGGTGTCGCTACGCTATTCTGTGTCATTTCCTGCTGTGTTGTGATTGGTTCGTAGCAGCGGTCGCGTTGTGAGAACATTGCCTCGAACAGACCTGAGTTTGTCTGCAGCCACTGTTTAATGCTCTTCTGCTCTCAGTGGAAAATCTGCTCTTATCTTTATGATCCAACTGTAATCCTTCCTGTGTGTGTGTGAGTGTGTGGTGTGTGGTCTCGTGTGGTGTGGTGTCGTGTGGTGGTGTGTGGTGGTGCTGATTCTGTTGTGTAGTGTGTCGTGCTGTGCTGCTCGAGCTGTGATGTGAAAAAAATAAAAAAGCTGTGTGTTCTGCGTGTGCGTGAGACATGTGTTATGTTGAGCACAGTGTGCGCTGTGATGCTGAGTGTCTGTTGTGTGTGTGGTGCTCGTGCATACCTCAGTGGTGGACTCACATGCACTCTGGTGTCTAAGTTTCTGAAGCATGAAAGCTGAACCAGGAGTACTTTGGTGAACTGTATCAGTGGCTCCAACCTGTTCTATCATTGACTGTATTTTATATATATTTCATATTGATCAGTATCAATAACAGCAGCTGATAAACTGAACAATGAACACAAACAGTGAACACTGAATAAATAATTCAATTTAGTTTTCCTCACAGAAATGAACAAACACAGAGATATCGACTTACTGTGGATATTTTTAAGTTTTCTTACACACTACACTACACTACTACACACAATAAAGAAGCCTTCGCGACCCCCAGTGAAGCCTTTGGCGACCCCTAGAGGAGGTCCCAATCCACAGGTTGGGAACCAATGAACTATATTAATGTCAGAAATAAAGAAACTCAAATAACGAGACAGTAAATAATATGCTTTATGTTGTGTAATCATAGATCAGCCTGTTTACAGTCATTATTTGTTAAATGTGGAGCATTCTGGGTAGATTATTAGCAAAATGCTAACATTATCCCACAATTCAGGCGCTTGTGAGGTAACATTTAAATTTTCTCCCTCGTTTCTGTGTGTTAGGACAGAATAAAAATTAATCCAATAATCTGTTGGTTTTTTTGTTGTGATTTGATTTGATGGCGCTAGGCTAGCAGTTCCCTCCTGCTTCCAGTCTTTGTGCTAAGCTACGCTAAAGACAGCCTAGTGAAACACCGGCCATTTACAAAAAGCTATATTGATGCTTTATGCTAACTCTTTGTATTTATCTAGAACCTAACATATCGATGTCTATGTAGCTGTTTGCTGCTACGATGATTAGCACTTTCCCCCTGCCTCTAGTAGTTGTGCTAAGCTAGGCTAAACACGCCCTCGTAAAACACTGTTGGGTTTTTTGCACAAAGCTAAGATAATGTTATATATACTAACTTTTTATCTATCATCTACTACCTATAACATATTGTTCTCTGTGATAGCTGTTCGTTGTTACACTGGCTAGCAGTTTCCCTCCTGCTTCCAGTCTTTGTGCTAAGCTAGGTTAATGTTTTATAGCTACCATAAAACTGACTCGTGATAAACACCCAGCCAGACGCAGCCTGTTAGCATTATGTGGCTACGCTGACATGAAACATCTGGAGAAAACTGCTCCTTTAACAACAAACGACAGCCTGAAGCAAAAAAAAGAAATGAAAGAGAGACAGAAATATAAAGTGGATCATCTCAAACACAATAAAAAAAGATCTGAAGCTTCAGTAAACTCTGCTCAACCTCCCCGTGTGTGCGGCTGATCTATGTCACTGCGGTGGACAGACTCAGGGAAGCAGCAGATGTGAGCTGACAGCAGAGAAATGAGTGGAGGGGGGATGCTGGGGGGATGCTGGGGGGAGATGTTCGGAGCTCCTCTCCTCTCCCACACTTCCATTTAAGGCCTGGTTTCCCTGAGTCTGCCTCCTCTCTCAGACTTTGTTTTACTTCACACCACAGATTAAAGTCTCCGGTGGAGCAGCTCCTTTTAAGAAGCTGCTCGTCCTCATGCTCAGTGTCTCTGCCCACAGAAACGTACAAAGAGGGAAATTAATGCTCTGTGAATTATCATTGTTCTGGTTTAACGTACTAATATCCGGCTGTGGATCCTGCTGCAGGTTGTTGTTGTTGGATGTTAGTCGGTTGTTCTGGATTTAAGAGGCTGACACACATATTGATCTTTGACAGTTAAATAAACGATCGGCCAATATTTAAGTTTTTATAAGAACACTGTAACCGAGATATGTATGATTAGAGTCTACAGCCATGCTAATAACAACGCTAACATGCTGATGTTCACCAGCTAATGATTGAGGTAGATTAGGTGGCTAGTTTGTGTTTTGCTAATGTTAGCTAACTTAAGATTAGACTGTTTTTTATTTGGCTTTTACATTTTAAGTAACGGTTAGAGGCTAAACATCTCCTGGTAAAACACTGGTTATTTACAAAAAGTTCAATTGATGTTATATGCTAACTTTTTGTAGTTCTCTAACATCTCCTACCTATAAAAAGCTAACATATTGTTGTCTGTGCTAGCTGTTTGTTGTTATTACTGTACATTTGTAAGCAGAGATGCTAATGTTCTTAGCATCTTTGTTGCAGCAGGGTAGTTTGGTTCAGTCAGACATAAACTGTGTAATAATCTCAGGTTGCTGCCACACAAAAGAAATAAAAAGTTTATGTAACGTCACTTCAGCGTCTTTTTGTACTGTTGACAGCTAACGCTAGCTAGTTAGCAGCTGTGAGTCAGGATAAAGACATTAGCCACTGTTAGCATTACCAGTTTATAACAACACATACAAACATGTCTGCAGAAAGAAATGGGACAGTAGCTACTGTGTGTGCACAGGAGACAATGGACAATATTACCACAGATTTCAGTAGAGACCAGTAGGGACCAGTAGGAGCCAGTAGGGGCCAGTAGGAACCAGT